ATATGTATTGATAGATGTAACGAATATTGGAATAATGTTGAAACTCTGTACTACCAGACGAGTGACAAGAGAGAGTAAAAGAAAGAGACAAGTGAACCCAAAGCTGGCAACGTTGCACTCGCAAATACCATCCACGCTGTGGGGACGTTATAATTAATGGGTTAATACCCATGCCATGGTTAAATCACAATCAATATATCTAGGAACCCAATTTGTTATCACAATTGTTTGGGGTTCAAAAATGTTGCAGCATAACTGCAAGAAGAATATCGTGAAAAATAAAATTATCGAAAAATGACGTATCCTACGAAGCTGGAAATCGAATAACTAAGCAATATTCATCAAGACATATGAAAAAAGTTAAGGGGAACTGGGGGACGTCATAATGATGCGCGACGTGCATGACGCCAAAAAGATTCTAGGATGTAAATATATATATATATATATATATATAATTTTGAGAAAATAAAAGAGTCTCATTGTCATAGCAATTATAATTTCTTTAATCAAATTCAATTACTATCATATCTGCCGCCGATCTCTTCATTCGCAATGAAAAACTCGCATGAATTAAGCGCTCACGTATTTACAGTTCTCTAAAAAACTAGGAGTGTTCACCTCATAGTAGTTACGTCATAAAACCAAGCTTATATAAAACAATGGTCCTCACTCATCAATTAATTCTAAGAACTAAATAAAGTGAGGAAGTAATAAATCAATCAATACGATTACCTCATTAATGTAGTCTCAAGGTCTTATTATAATTATCTAAATACAGCTGTCAGTTGTTATTATGTTGGGAACATATGGAGCCATTTCCGATACCCAGGTGTGGTTATAGCTATTTTAGTCTGCTGCTTAAGATATATTTTTTATGGTATAAGCCGATAAACGTGCAGACGGTAGGTAAGCAATCGCCGTTGCCCATGGACACCTGGAACACCCAGGCGTTACAAGTGCGTTACCGGCCTTTTGGGAATTGGGAATTTGAGGATTGTGGAGCATTCGGGGATTCAAGAGACACGGGAGGGAGGGGAATTGGGCCTCCGGTTACCTTACTCACACGACGAAACACAGCGCAAGCGTTATTTCACGTCTGTTTTCTGTGAGGCCGTGGTATCGCTCCGGTCGAACCGGCCCTCAAATTGTTAGTAGATAACTATTGAAATATAAACCAGAACTGTTGTTAACTCTTCATTTCATTCTTCTATGTAAAACTTCAAAATAATGATCAATCATGTTCTTCAGGTGATCGAAGGGCTGGCTACTACCTTGGGCAAAGGTTAAGCATTGCCATTCAACGTGGCAATGCTGCTAGTCTTTTGGGCACCCTACCTCACGGTAGCGATGAGGAAAATGTTTTCTTTGATGCCTTATGATTTATTTTTATTATTATTATTTTATTAACTCGTCGAGTACCGTCATTATAGACACAATTATAGAACAATAGGTTGCGGTCACCGGTGACCGCTTGGTGTTTGACAGTTTAAGGTGTAAATATTTTAGTTTTAAATTTGTTTTTTATATATATTTTAAGTTGTATATATTAATTTTTATCTTGTATTATATATATTTAATTGAAAAAAAAAAAAAAAAAAAAAAAAAAATCATGTTACTCCCCCATGTTAAATCTGTCCTTACCAATGGGAAGTACTGATGCAACACAAAGACGAAAGGTTTTAAGATATTAATAATGTAAAAACAACAGCCAGTTGCCATGGTTACCACTCTTTTACCCCAGCAATGACGACGCATTTCCTTTGTCCCTGAGAAAGAATTATTTTCTAAAGAAAAAAGGGTATATCGTAAATCGCGGTATTGGTTAAGAACAAAACAATATTTTAGGAAAATATAGTAGTTGTGTTACCGATTTGGTCATAAACTCACAACCCAATACCCATATAACAAGTGCTAACCACAGGAGCCATTCTTTTTTCTTTTAATAACTGCTAATATATTTTTGTAATAACTATCGTGAGACATACTAAATTTACTAAAATCGCGGGTTATTCACGTGAATATACCTACTAAAAAAAGCTCTACTACTTTCGAACCACAGCGGGGTTCTTCCTCATGAGCAGCGTGCGTGGTCGCGGCGACGTCGTGCAGCTCACTGGTTCGAAACTAGTAGAACTTTTCTCAGTATATTCACGTGAGTAACCCGCGATTTTAGTTAACTGCTAATATCTCAAACAACATTCAAATAACCATTTCAATCAAACTTAATCGAAAACAAACATTCTGTTGATAGCAAAATATTGGCATAAAATGAAAAACTGAATCTTACTGAACTATCTTCCATCTGTTCGGGAATGAAAGGTAAATAGAGGTTGTACTTATCTTCGCTACAGCTATTTAAAAGCCGTATTCAGAGGAGTAATGTTTGCTGTATAGGCTTGCAACTTTTACATTCAATACCTTGCCGTGTCTCCCAACTCCTTCAACTTCTTTCAAAGGTAAAACCAACCTTACATTTTGAGCATAAGGTTTCATTTTACGTCGGCACATGTTTGCGAAATGTTCCAGAAGGGTTGTTCCTAGTTGCTAATAAACGTTTACTGCTTACCGTTCTTTTGTAGGGCTTCAGGCCGAATTTGTGAGAAAAGTATTTCCATATTGGAAATCAATGCCTTATAAACACCTTTTTCAGATAAATAGAGTTCTTAATCTCATTCATCACTATTTAGGATAAGTTTTTCTAATACTTTGTATTTATTCGTTTTCTATGAAGCATTTGCAAATCAGAACACCAATATTAACAACTATTATACAAAATCAGGTCATGGCAAGTAAATGAGAGCCAAATCCAACAGACCAATAGATTTAATTAGTGAAGACGTTATGAGCTGACCACATGTGGTTTAATGTCAACATGTTATACTCAGTAAAGGCAATCAAAGTCCATATCCCTATATATACCCAATATTCTTGACCTACTTGGACGAGCACCACAGGAGGTCCCATGATAGACCCTTGCGGAAACCCGAAACGTCATATACCAAAAACGACCTTAACGCGTAGAAATAAAGAAGGTGTCACATTATCAAGAAGTGTTGCATGACGTTAGATTTAGCTTGGACGTTCGAACTGCCATTTTGGCTTGATGCCAGGGTGATCTCTCACATAGTAGATGTACCGGTTCCATTCATTAATAAAGATAAAATATTTTGCTACAGTTTCTATGGCAAGAGACACGGCGGCGTAGACATTTTATAAAAAGCTGTGTTTGTTTAGAATGGCATGCGTACTAACAAAATTAGTCCTACTCAAATTGTGCAGGACAATTTAACTAGGGTATTCAATTTAGCCACTTAAGAAACAATTC